ACGGAGAAATTCGAAACAGCACTGACGACGACGAAGCCACCGGTAGCTATCCGAGCTGTCAACGTGTCCTTCGAAGACGAGCATAGTGCCTCATCCTCTAGTCCAGATTCCGCTCGAGGGCGAGTCACAGTGAGTTACGCGGAAAAGTGCAACGGCGATCCAGAGAGACCAGACGGATGTAACACCCGGTCGACGCCCACGTGTCGATTGTGTCCTGATGAGCAACAACAACAGGAAGCGTTCGTTGCGAGTGAAAAGTTCGGTAACGGAAGTATCAAAACTCCGTCTGCTATCGACGAGAAATCGACGAATATCTCGAGCATTGACCGCGCTACCACCACGTTGCTCGTCGTCGACGAACCAGAGCGTAAAATTACACTCAGCGATCAAGAGGACAGTAACGACAGCGACAACAATATCCACCGGCAGGACTGGCTGGAGGCGGGGGTTCGTTACTCTTCCACGCAGATTACTTTGCATGGAGATGACGGCGACGACGACACCGTGGGTCGAGTCAATGGTTATGATCATCACGAGGAGGAGAGAATCACTGATCTTGATTTCATCAGGTAGACCAAAATCATGAAATCACCAGAGACTTTATTTGTAATTGTCTCTACTAAAAGTTAACATTAAAAATGGATGGGACTAAATTGTAATACGAATGTGAGATTTTTGTCTATTTAGCAAAGAATACAAATTTGAAAGTTTTTTATCCATGAAATAAATTATTAATGAGTCAGTATAAATGTAAAGAGGGCAACGAGCCAAGTAAATTAACGAATAATTTAATTTAAACAATCATACAAACATCAAAAACCAACGTTCGACTCCGATCGGGTCATTTTGAATGTTATATAAAATATCAAGTATTATAGATTAAAATATATTGTATACATTCTTCATTAAGTCAAAATATTTTCGATTCAATGCAAGATTCAGTCAATATTGGTGTCGTAAGCATAATCCTTGTCAAAAATAAAAGGAAAAGAAATAACGTGTCCATAAATAAAAATTCCAAGTCACAACAGTAAAACAATATTATAATTAAAAATAAGATAATTTGCAACGATCCAAAATGAGCACTGATCTTTGTAATGACAAATAAAGTAACATTATTCTTTACATTTATACTGTTTTATACATATTGAACCTTATAATTACTTTTATTTTATTTATGAGTGTTTTTTTAAATGGCTTCTAAATGTTCAATATTATTGTAGAATTGTTTTGTACAATATTATTGATGCGTCCCTTAAACAATTCAAAACGAATAGTTTGATATCTTAATGTATCCTCCAGATAATAAATAATTTTGTGCACAATATCAGTATTTATGTAATAATATTGATTGTCTAGGGATCATAATGAAAAACTTAAAAAAAAGCTTTGATTTTAGTTTTTATTGGCTCTAAAAATCATGAAAAAAATTATTGAGATTTTCTTTTTCATAAATTATGATAGTTGTGTGTGTGTGTATCTTTAGATATAACATTGTTAATTCCCAAAAATTCATTTACATTTTTTACATCTAATAGTCTAACATTTCATCATGGACGTCAATAATAATTAAGAAGAACAAGATAAAAAGCACTGATTTCCTAATTTAAACAATTAAACATTAAAAATTTTTAAATGTGTTTAAAATATACAGTTCTTTTGAAAGTGAATTTTAATGCTATTATTTTACGTCAAAAATAATGTATTTAATGAAGATATTGTATGAATAACATTATTTAAGTGTTCTATGACGTAACGTTGTCGCAAGACGCGACGTTACTGCACACCAGCGCTAATGATGTAATAATTATCGAGAAGTCGCGATAGTTGCAGGGTCGCTCACTGCATTACGCGCATTGATCTAAATTCAACTATCCGGTGATATGAGTGCACTGCTTTCTCGTGATGAATGCTGTCTCAACCAACCGTAAAAACCAACCGCTCGTTAGCGTTAACTAACGTTCAAAAAATGCTTGCATTACCTTTTTTTTTCTTAATTCAGTCCTGGAACCTTAATTTACCTCTTAATTTGCTTAGCTATAAAATCCTGAAAAATTCACATTACACTTGTTTTTCGAGTATTGCGAACTGTATAGCATTTATTCGCACATGAATGTGCAATTATGGAGATTTATGCAGTTATATAAATTAAACGAATGTTACGTAAAAAAAGGAAAAATATATTCTCGAGAAATAAATACAAATAGAAGCTGCATAAATATAATATTCTTTTCTCGCACAACTGATTGCTACAAAATTAGAAATCAGGGAAATGTCAGGGAAATTGAAAATGGTCAGCGAAATTAAAGAAAAAAGTTAACAAATTTTGCAAAATTTCTGGATTATAAAAATTATAAAAATTGGTTTTAAAATAGTTCAATATTGATGTACATATACATACATACGCTATGTATAATTTTTGAATACTATCAACTTAACAATTAATGGGGTATGTTAAGTTAGCACCCCAACTATAGTACTCAGGAGTTCTGATTAGAGTTCTCACTTCTTTTTGACGAGACGAAGAGTTCTCTATAGTTAATAACAAGAGTTCCGCTCAATAAATATTTTTTTTACATTTTTTAAAAATGGGGTGCTAACTTTTTATCGAATTTCGAGGTGGAATAGTTTTGAGCGGCTTAATAGCTTCAATTTGCGATTGCCTAGAGTTCCTGACATGTAAAAAAAATTTTCGAATAATAAAAAAAAAATCCAATCGCTTTTTCACCTTACAGTTTTCGATAGAACTCGTCGAGTATTACAAGAAACGCTACTCAGAACTACTCGGTACTCTCAAAAAAATTTTCAAATATTTCCACTATTTTTTTAAACTTTATTATATTTCAAAAATGTTTTTTATGTATCAAGAACTCTAAGTATTCACAAAATACTTCTGTTAAACTGATCAGAACTTGCGACCTTGAATTTCGTTAAAAAGTTAACACCCCATTTTTAAAAAATTATTAAAAAATGATTATTAAGTGTATATGTCATTAAAAATCATAGAGAACTCTTCGTATCGTCAAAAAAAAGCATAAATTATCATCAGAACTATTGTATCTAAAAATTAATTTTTCAAAAATTTTTTATTTTTTTTTAATATTCGAAAATTTTTTTTACATATCAGGAACTCTAGGCAATCGCAAATTGAAGCTATTAAGTCACTCAGAACTATTCCACTTCGAAATTCGATAAAAAGGTTGCACCCCATTTTTAAAAAATGTAAAAAAAAATGTTTATTGTGCGAAACTCTTGTTATTAACTAAAGGGAACTCTTCGTCTCGTCAAAAAGAAGTGGGAACTCTAAACAGAACTCCTGAGTACTATAGTTGGGGTGCTAACTTAACATACCCCAATTAATGCAAGTAGTGTTAACAATATTAATAGTAATTTTCATTGCTATATCAAATTATTATCTCAAAAATATTTCTTAATCAGAAAAAAATACAATTTCAAAGTATTATTGAAAGTCAGGAAAAATCATGAAATTTTATCTGGAAATCAGGAAAAGTTATGATGTTTTGGAACGAGAAATTTGTGACAATCCTATAGCTACAAGTCAATGAAAAATTTATTATTAAGAACAGCAACTTTTTAAACTGATATCACTATCTATAACTACTATCAGATTGGTATCGTTGCACTTGGCATATTGAATTGATCTCATCTCAGCACGCGGAAAATAAAATGTAACAAGCAAGCGGAGCCGAGTCGAACGGATATCGATATCGATAAGAACGGATTGAGTGATCGCACACTTTCACGATGTGCACGCGATGTTAATAACCGCAGGACGAAGTGAGTCATTCGCCAAATTCCCCGCCTTCTTGACCGCGGGCGGCCGACATTCATAAAAACAGATCGATTTTTATTCCATAAGATGATCGTGTAACGGTATTCCCATTTCCTGCGGCTTCCATCGTACTCCGCCTTTGACAGTTTACAAAACCGTACAATCCGCAGAAGTTTTCCCCTGAGTATCATGAAACTATTAATTTCATCCCCCTCGTACACGGAGAAAGCGAAGTAATATGTGCTAGAATTCTAGAAAATTTTATGGAATTGACATGTCTATCTATATAGAAACAATTACATATTGCGTAAAATTGACTTTATTTTTCTGATAAATGATCGTCATATAGCCATATTGTAAGGTACTTTTTACATTTCGTAAAGTCAATTTTAAGAGTTAATCGTGCTTACAATCTTAAAAATGCATCTGTAATTATGTGAAAGGATTTTAATAAAGCTACTTTTTATTCATTACCAACAACATTGCACTCTCACTCGCCCCTAGGAATTCTTGGATGTTTGAATCAGGAGAGTCCGTAAGAAGATTACACACCTAGAATTGTTTAATCTTAAAATTGTATTATAATTTACTTTACTATAATAATCACTTAAATAGATTTATTATAATTATAATTACGATATTTTTGTTTTACATCTCTGATATTTTAATTTTTATACAAGTAAATATATCTTGTTTATTATAAGTTTGGTAAAAATAACCAGAATATCTTTATTGGCCTTGTAAAAATTACTAAACCCAATTTTTCCATATAAATTCCATTCATGCTTCTATTTTAGTTTATTATTGTTAACTACAGCTGGAAAACAAAGATTTTTTAAATTAATATTTTGTTAATATTTAGGGGTAAAAAAAAATATTAATTTGTAATTTTTTTATTGATGTATATTTGTAACTTTTTATTATGCTGTTACATATATTAAATGTTTATAATTATGTAAGAGTATTAGTAATTAATCTAGTTAATTAACTTCTTAACTATGGGTGTTTTCTATTTCGTGACACAACAATACTGTTCCTTATTACTCATCTAATACCGAAAAGAATAAAATCATAAATTTCTGTCACTAAATGTACCCTTTCTTTATCACTGAAAACACTTTGTCTTTTTTGAACAAATGCGTCGAAAATATATTTGATTGTATACAAAATATAAATTATCTGAAAACCTCGTACTTGCATATTCCAGTATACAAGAAAGGATCGCGATGTCTTCCCTGCAAGGATTACCCCCGTTACCAAGAAGCTTGAGTGGCTTCAATTTGAGCGGTCGCGGCGAGAGCGGCGAGAGCCCACGAGGTCGTCCAGTAAATCCCAAAGAGGCGGCAAAACGTCGCTGCAAACGTCGTCATCGAGGCCGTCTCCACCTGCCAGACAGCTCACTACCTTGGATACCCAATTGGCGGTGCTCAGGAGAGAAATGGTACTCATCCGAAAATTGTTTTCACTCTTTTACTTCTCTGTTAACATCGCGGAATGCAGTCTCGTTATTTTTTGGTTTCGGTGGAACGTATCTCTCGATGTTTCTGATGTCTTGTGAAAATGAGATGCTGCGCAATATAGAACCGGTTCACAGAATATCAGGATCTTGATCTTTTTCTTATTTTTAACGTCTAGTGACGTTAATTTATACACGATAAGCTAGGAGATACATATATATATATATATGCACAGAGAGAGAGAGAGAGAGAGATCGAATCTTTATGTTACAATTTAATTCCCCAAGAAAGTTATAGCATTTAATAAGTAATGATACTCAATCGTTTAATGTTTTAGTAAGATAAAATTATTAGATTTTTTGAAGAACTTTTAGACAAACAAAATGGATAGGAATACGGACAGTGGCTAACTTATTTTGACATGAATAAAAGGCCTAGTAGTCTAATTGGCTAGGAAACTTGCGCGTAAAGCAAGGTATATATATGTATATATATATATATACAGGGTGACCCATTTTAACTTAGGCAGCCAAATAACTCGAAAACTAAATCCAATAGACAAAAATGTTTCAAATAAAAATGGAACGGTGTCGAGGGGGACACGTTTTAGTCACGTTGTTTTTTTCCTAAGTGGAGGCGCTGAAAAGATATGAAGGTCACCTCCACTTTTTTAAATGGAATTATGTAATTTTTTTTAGATAACGTGATTCCTCTAATTATTTTGCATATAAAAGTATTAAGGTAGAGATACCAAAAAACCAATAGTTTTCGAGATATTTTACACTTTATTTTGGTACATATTGACACAAAATGTTAAATAACTCGTAAACTGTTAACTTTTTGATTATCGTACCTTAATGCTTTTGTGAACAGAATAATGAGATAAATCAAATGGTGTAAAGAAAACACATAGTTGCTTTAAAAAAAATATGTATACAAAATGGATAATTTTTTAAATATGCAACTATGTGTTTTCTTTACACCATTTGATTTATCTCATTATTCTGTTCACAAAAGTATTAAGGTACGATAATCAAAAAGTTAACAGTTTACGAGTTATTTAACATTTTGTGTCAATATGTACCAAAATAAAGTGTAAAATATCTCGAAAACTATTGGTTTTTTGGTATCTCTACCTTAATACTTTTATATGCAAAATAATTAGAGGAATCACGTTATCTAAAAAAAATTACATAATTCCATTTAAAAAAGTGGAGGTGACCTTCATATCTTTTTAGCGCCTCCACTTAGGAAAAAAACAACGTGACTAAAACGTGTCCCCCTCGATACCGTTCCATTTTTATTTGAAACATTTTTGTCTATTGGATTTAGTTTTCGAGTTATTTGGCTGCCTAAGTTAAAATGGGTCACCCTGTATATATATATATATATATATCCGGGTTCAACTCCCGGCCGAGGTAATATTTTTCGCAATAAGGAAATTATATCCAGATTTAGTATTTTCAGATTATTAGAGTTGCGTTTCAAGACCAATTGTTCGGCGCGTAATTTGGGGGGACTACGTATATTAGTTAATTATTAATTTGTTTTAATTCGTGATAGTACCGCGGTAGTTTATATGTAAGCGATTAAAGATCCAAGCTGGACTGTTATAGGCTTCGTATTTGTATTAGTTACGAATAAAATATTTTTAATGCAATTTGAATATATGAAGAAATAAAACGTTTTAAAAATTTTGTGGATGCGATTTTTAGATGACTGAAGCAACTATTGATTAAGAATGAATACTCGAAATCTTTTACGATTAGAAAATTATTTGACCATTGGATTGGATTTTACGGCACGTGTAGCAGAGTACCACTCGACATGCGGTCAGTAAATTGTCGACGCGATTCAAATTGGTGCCTGAAATTGTGCATCCTATAACGGCAGCCATTAACTCCAATAGAAACCATTAGTCATCTATCACGGCGCGAAATGTATTTACGAGCATGTGCAGGAAAATTCCACGCCTCCGCGTGCAACAAGCACGTGCGATTTCAGAGCGGTCATCGAAATTCTGTGTCGCTGTCATCGATCGCGATGGAAGCTGTACAAATTATTTGCTCTCTCATTTCTCTACACCACAGATTTGTGTATCATATTGTGTCAGTGATTTAGTTTCGAAATTCTTAATTCAATTACATTTCGATGCTCAGATCGTTTTTCTTTTTATGTTTTATAATTTCCATTTCTTGTATTTTGGATGATATTTTTATTGGTAATTTTGTTTTTATTCTTTTTATATTATCTTTATTATTTTTTGTTAAAAATTTCTTTTGAATAATTTCCTTTTCCTGTCATTTTTTGTCTTTGATTTCTACTTGAAAGTATTCCTTGTCTCGTAGTAAACTTCGATCCTTGCCACTCCTTATCCTTGATATTCCGTCGCGTCATTCCGATCACGTTCCACGAACCTTCATTTTCCACTCGGTCGTCGTTGTCCACCTCTGTTGCTCTCCTGTCTGTTTCTTCCAATCCTTCCGCGTTTGTTTGGGCGACCTGGACGACCCGTTACCTCGAGACCACGATCGCGTGTGAGTAAATTGCGGCGCGCGATGAGCGTGTATTTTATGCGTGGGATCATAAGTAGCGAGGGAAACCAGAGTATACCGCGGTAGAGAAAGACAGAAACGCGCTTATATCATTTAACCGTGCGGAGGATCCGCTTTTTAATAGCTATATTAAAGCAAGTTTGCTGCGCAAACATATTCACATGCCTACTGTTAGTTACATGCCGCATTCATCTACGTCGTTTAATACGATTGAAATTCTAAAAGGCTTTATGTTTATTTCAAATAAAATTATTACAGTATCTCTTGGCGTACATCTCATTAGTAACTCAATAATCTCATTATCTCCTCGTCGATTGACGATTAAAATTCTAAAAAACTGTTTATTTCAAATAAAATTACTATACCTATATCTTTGTGTACATCTCATTAGCAGCTTAATCTTTGCAATAACCTGGAAATTAATATTTTGTTAAACTATCCAAAATTAATATATTGTATAATAAATTTAAATAATAGATTCAAAAATATTTTTATTGAACTATAAAAATAATTATATGTAAGAATTTTAAACATAATGAACAGCATAATTATTTTATAATTGTCAAACAAAATTGAGACCTGTATTTAGCTAAATTTTTTAATATTTGTATAAGATCATTCTTTCTGTTGAGAAATTCGAACTTTGTTGATTCTCAGCAGCGATCGCTATATATTTGTATATAAACATTGCCGTATCATACCGACCACATTCGTGTGGCATTGCGGCAATCTTCCCGAAATTAACTGTAACGGGATCTTGAGTAGGATCTCTCCGAGGAGAAGAGCTCTCGTGATAAACTCTTGTTGGATCTCCGTTCGCGTCAACATCTCGAGTCGCGTATTTAAGTTGGGCTAATAATTTAATAGTCAATCCAGACACGGGAAGCGAGTTCGCACAGCCGCTCCCACGCTACATTCCCTCAGGCATGATTCTACTCCTCCGTACTCTTTTTCCCTCACCCGCTCCTTTTCACCTTCGTTCTCTCTTCTGCTCTTCGTCATCGTCCCTCTACCAGCCTCGTTTCTCCTTCATCGCGGTGTCCGCTTGCGTCTCTCATATTCTTCCCGTTCTCCTTTTGCATGTCTCTCCTATACAACTCCCTCTTCCTCGGTTCCCACGGCAGCCTAGCGGCTGCTTGGAAATGCGTCGTTTCAGTCCGTAAATCACGAGGTAACATTTACCTTGGAGACCGTATGGTAAAAGTGAATGCGTTCTTCTAGCTTCTATATTGAGCCCTATGTGAAATTTCGCAGCGACCCACGGTGACGAATAATGAAGAAAGGTCACGGGGTTACGGAAAATGATGATCGTAGAACCTCTTTAATAAATGTCTAAAAGTCAACCTTTTCATGGAATACAAATTTATGTAAGGAGTAAAATAAGTATTTTATTGTATATTTATTTTTAATTGGAAATTACTGCAAAATTCCGGTTAATTTAGTTTCTAATGTCATAGAACATTTGACCTCAAAGCGATAATTGCGTTTTTTGTCAAGTACAAATATAACTTTTGTGCGTCTATCGTAAATTCACGGCAATACCGCAATCTATTTTTTTTTATTCAGTTTTCAATGCATCACTATAATTATGCTTGCATTTGCAGTTTGGTCTACGGCAGCTCGATCTCTCATTGTTATCACAATTGTGGTCCTTGAACGAGTCGATCCAGGAGTTCCGGCAACTGCTGCAGGAGCAGGAGGACCGAGCGCCTTCGCCATCACCCAGCAGCGAGGAGGGAGAGGATGCGACTTATGGGGTGCATCCGCCGCCACCACCGAGAAGACCTGCACCTACGCTGCATCATCGACCGCCACGACCTCCCAGGCCACCCAGGCCATCAGCCAGTGACGAATCGCCGTCGAGTGAAGAATACGGGGCCGTTTGACGTATCGTCACCGAGAGGAAGAAATACTCAAGAAGGTCTCGGTCCTCTCATCGCACCTAAAATGAGCGTTCCAGCGAGCGCCAATATTATGTCTATTTTATAATAGTCTTAAGCGCAGTTGTAAATGGCTATAGCTGTGAGAATCGATTAATCAAGTCAAATGGGAGAAGAATATTTGACTGTGATTGGTCAATTCTAACAACTATAACCATTTACAGCTACGCTTACGACTATTGTAGAATAGACTTTATTTCGCGGTAGATTAATTGTGGTCGCGCTTAGGCCTGTTCTATAATCAGTCGTATATTGATGTCAGCTGTCACTAATCGTTTGTCGTATGTTGTATGTCGTACATGAATACAACTTGCTATTCTACAACTGAGTCGTTTATCGAAGTCAGAACAAATCAATAATTATCAATAATTATTTCATCTACATATCAGTGATTTCATAATATAATATAAATATATCCATATAAAAATACCTGTTTATCCATATACATAAATGTATCCGAAGGTTATATTTCATCTAATCGTAGTCAGAAAAGATGGGAATTGACCATCTTCTATTTCGACATCGACAGCCGATTCCGACATACGACTAATTGTAGGACGGGTCTTAAGCCTGTTCTACAATAGTCATAAGTCTTGAACCATAAGGAATTGGCCAATCATAGTTAAATATGAAGGAAATACTCTATTATGATTGGTTAATTTCTTACAGTTTACGGCTTGCGATCCTATTGTAGAACAGGCTTTAAGCTCGATCTACATAATAAGACGCAAAGCGCAGGTCGCAAGTCACAAGTAAAACGTATTTCACATTGTAATAGATTGTAGACCGCAATATGTAGAACGCAGGGCGCAGGACGCGAAAGTTAGAGTTCACCCAACTTCCTGCGTCCTGCAATCTATTATAATTAAAATACGTCAGTTTCTAGTCTTGCAACCTGCGACTCGCGTTCTGCGTTTTATGTAGATCTGGCTTTACGATGATATCTGCGTAACTATCCGGAGAAGTTGTCTGCTTTTCCCGCAGGCCGTCGTTTAGAGAACTATTCGAGATTATCTGCGACCGCTACTTTAGCACGAAAGGATTGATGATCGAATCAAAATTTGACGGTGGAAGACCGAAGTAATTCAGTCACCAATACGTGAATGTTATTTCACATATTCAAGATAATAATCACTTCTCACAGCCTGGAGAAGAGTATCAACTTGCCAGTTTGCAATAACGACGTTCCGCATATATCGTGCTCTAAATAAGGAAGAACTCGATTGCCGCGAGCGAGAGAGCTGACTTCAGCTCGGCGCGCCGCTCTCCTCTCTACTTGTGATAACGCTCGAAGGGGCCTTTGATTAATAATAATCGCACCCATTTGTGCGGATTAAGATTTATCCGCGACTCCGCTCTGTCATAGAGCAATTGTAACAGATCCGAGCCCAAAACACCGCGATTCTTTCGTGTTGTGATCCAAGAAAAAGCGTAGTTCTTTGGCATTGCCAGCCGAGAAGCAGTGAATCCGAAAGAATTACAGTGTTATTTTCTCTTCCATGTTTTTTAATATTTTAGCGTACCCGTCGCAAAGCTTATCCTCGTTGCTGCCGTCGGGTTACCTGCGCAATTAGATCTGCCGTACACGCGAAGTAGATGGACAAATTTAATGTTTAAAAAAAAATATTTAATATAGAATTTATAAATGTTTGATTTCTGAACATTACAGATATAAAACAAGCCTTATAGATATACAATACCTTACACCAAGTCTTCGCGTGTACAGCATTTTTGGGAAAACTAAAATTGTCAATGTTCCGCGACGCCCTTTCGTGTAGATTAGTACTGTGTAAAGATATGTAAGACTATGTGCAAAATAAATGAGACTTAATTTAAATATACGCTGATTCGTAACAAGCGTTGCGTAACGCAACTACAACCTTTTCTTGTATGCATCGTTGTCCTGACACAGATAGTTAGCAATCGACAATGCTGCACCTACTTACATGTATGCAAATTGCATTTCATTTCATGCAGGGTGTGTGCGGAAATAAATAGTGCAATAGCAGGACAATGAGGAGACAAAGAAATTGCTGTACAAGTCCCTTGCGTCATCCAAGATACCGCAATAATTCGTACTGAGCTTGTTTCGATTACGTATCAATTAAATTTTTTTTTTCTATTTAATCCTCAATATAGTATTAATTTATAAATTATAAAATATATGATAAATTCCATCTCAATATTTTTGTATACATTTTTACAATTAGTAAATTTTCTAATTGTTTTACGTTGTGAATTGAATTACACGATTAGGTAGTATTTTTTATTTTTTCTTTTATTTTTTTTTCCATGAATTACATATCTATTTGGCACTATTAAAGAAGAAATTCTCTTATAAACTTTCATATGAAGGAATTTGTCGATGAACGCTGCAATTCGTGCATTATTCTTCGCTCAGTCTATTATATTTTTTAAATACATGTACAATTCATACATTTTGCTCCTAATACATTCATTGTCAACGCTTTACACATATAAACAGAAAACGCAGACAAAAGTGAAGCAGCCAGAGCTATATCATCTTGAAACATGTTATATAAGCAACGTAAGATTTTTTTACATAAGAATATTTTTCAAAATCATGAGGAATGTATAAGGACATTATAAAATTAATTATCTTACACAGGGAGAATATTAGACATACACATAATCGATATCACAAACTTATCAATAAAAAAAAACTCTTCTATTCATCCATATAAAGAAAAATGCACACGTATCATCGACAAATTAACATGACTTGAAGACTTGACATAAAAAATGCGTCACGTCCCAGAAAGTTAATTTTTCTTTCAAAAAAGTTCCATTAGTGCTTAAAAACTAGTAACAAACTGTAATTGCAATATGAGCAAATTTATGATATGCAAAATGAATGTGAAAAGGACATTCTTTTAGTGTCTTCTCGGACAAATGTATATTACTTTTGATTCTTTTTTGTTTTTTTTAATCTTATTTTTGGTATTTGGTTGACCTTTCCATTTTTTTGTCCTGTCTTCGTGTATTCTCAACAATTCATCCGCGGGGACACATTCATACAGAAAAAAGCTTGAATTTTTCCCCGTTTTTCAAACGGTACTGCGTCGTTGTATTGATCGTGTGATTCGTTAGCGTAAACGTCTACTTTAATATTAGAACTACCGATGATTAATTTCTATCATTTTAATTTTATATACGTATCTTTGCAAAAATAGATGAAGGGGAAAAAACAAATTGATCAATTTAGATCTTGATCTTTACAAATTGCAATAAAAATAATGAGAAATTTCAAAATGTGCGTTGTCATAAATAATTTTAAAAAAGATCACAAATTAGTCGTTTTGATTACGTTAATAGTTCCAGTGTTAAAGTCTGTTTTAATACGCAGGATAATTTCTACGCGAGAATGTAAATGTGGTCTCGCAAATGTTTGGAATGATGTGCAATAGAGAAGACGTGCAACGTACACAAAAAAGAAGACAGAAACAAAAAATCGTTTCCGTCATCTGTAGCCCCTCGGGAATTATTGATGCGGTTTAACAAGAAGTTGATGATTGAATTGATCTCATGTAATGAACATAACACATAGAGAACATCGTCTAATATACGTAGAAAGTTTCTTTCTAATGGTACATTTATGAAAGATCGTTTAAAGAAAGTCTCACGATCCCTTCCGGATCCTCTTATGAAAGCTCACCTGTTTTTATCCATTTAAAAAAATACCGACGCGTGAGTCACGCTTAATATATCGCAAAGTGGACACGCATCATGATTCCTTTATGTGTTTAACACAACCGAAATTTCGCGCTACACGTTAAATGAGTACATTTTCATCGAACATGTTATGCAGGGTATCTCTTAAGTTTTGCCTAAAATTTTAGGAAATTTTTATTAATATTAGAAATTAATTTTTTTATGTAATTTTTAGATTTTAGAAACGGATATTGTGTTTCTTTATCATTTTATGATGAAAAAAAAATCATATGAATATATCTCAAAGACTTTGAGTCAGAGATGTACAGAGTAATTATACTTTTGTAAAATTATGTTTTTTTTCTAGATAAAATCTTCTGTATAAAAAGAGAATAACATTTTTTTCAAAGTGCGTCAGGAGATTTGATTCTGTTGATATATAAACTTGAAGCAGTAATGTATTAAATCTTAAACCCCATTGTACGTTATTGCTTTTTCTTAAAACGGTAACTAAAGATATAAAAAGTGAAAGTAATTGTCTATTTACTGACTCGAGTTTGGAAGCAATCTTTTCTTATTTATGAGTTATTAAAAGTTACTAAAAGCTTAATTAAAAGCAATAATTATACAAAATTTTTAACGCCCGTTGAAATCATGTATTCAATATTTCTCTATAAAATAATCTTAAAAATCAACTCCTAAAATATTAATACTTAAGAAATATTCTGTATAGATGCTATGAGATAATTTTCTCATGAAGTAGTAACGCCACTTTACGAGATATTCGAGCAATATACCGAATTACTTTTCCTACACATTCATAAAAATGCTTTCATACTTTTCAGTTGCGCATCTTCCATCACAGGTATCTCCTTTCTTTTTCATTAAAAATATTTCTCGTTTATGTATAAACGTTACTTCATTATTCTGATTGTGAATATTAACCAGATAATTTCAGAAGAAATTAGCTTAATGCGAGATACTCTTTTCGGAGAAAGATAATCTACATTATCTCGCAGCTTAGAGACAGATGAATTATTTTTTCTGAAAAATGCAATACGTATATATTATTATTGTTCCAATATACTCGTATATGGAAGATGCTTAATAAATATTTCGCGAAAATTTGTAACGGATCCGTGAGAGAGTCAGTGGACCATATTTGTACGATACGTACATCGTACAATTCGTAAATGTGCACCGTGAACGGCGCTAAGAATGCATATACATTTAATTTCCATTTCAAACAGACTTTTAAATAATTACGAAAAAAA